ATGCTGGGTCATTCCACGTCAAGTGGACCAGGGATCCCCACCTGACCGTCTCCAATTTCGATAAAATTTTACATGAAGGTTGGCATCTATGTCATACTAACTTTGGGAAAGTTTTAGTTCATGATATGCAGGAATAGTAATGCTGTGGCCCTCAGAGTGGAGGCAGGTGAAAATTTCACCGACCCACAGCACACAGTCAGCAGCGTTCAGGTTATTGCTGTGGCAGATATAAAAGAGTAAAAGTTGTGTAAGTTAACATGTCTACACAACTTTTGGAGTGGATTTCAAAAATCACAGTCCTAAAACTTACAAGCTTTTGCTTTTTTCACAGTATGAAGCCAAAGTAGCAAAAAAAAAAAAAAAAAAAAAAAGTCAGTCGTGTAAAATTGAATCTTGAATTCAGCTGCCTATATCTATAAAGAAAAACATTATTTTAGTATGACATTATTGTAGCTAGCTACCCAAGTGGATATTGTCACATTCTTAAAATATCAGACTCCAAACATTTTTAGTTCCTGTGCTAATGGTACCTAAAAATGCCCTCACAGACCTCAAAGTGAATTTTAGGCCATTTTTGAAGACCAAGAACAAAAACCAACACAATCAATTTTCTTAACCCTTAAACTGTCCAAACGTAGATCTACGTTCGCTCGCGTAGCGCTCCGAACGTAGATCCATGTATGATTTTACATGCATTCTTATGTAAAAAAACATAGATCTATGTTCGGAGCGCTATGCGAGCAAATAGATCTATGTTTGGACAGTTTAAGGGTTAAAAACCCTTCATTAGAAAGAGCAGATTCTAAACTACAAGATATCTATTTTCTGGACAGGTGTTTTGCCCTTGAAAGGAGAAAACAGGCCTTAAAATAAGGTGATTTTTGGCTTGTGCTACATTATAATGAAAACCAGGCATTTTTTAGTTGTTGTTGTTGTTGTTATTATAGAGCAACAACAGCTAGAACCTTGCTTTTAGGTGTCATCATACTATTTTCAGTGCTGCGGGTTAATGTAATTTCACCTGTCTCCATTCTGAGGGCCACAGCATTACTACTATTGCATATCATGAACTAAAATTTTCCCAAAATTACTTAGATACACATACTAACCTTCATGTAAAATTTTATTGAAAATCGTCCCTACCTGAGGTAAGCTAGGGACGATTTTCAAAATTGGTCCACTTGACGTGGAATGACGGCCCTACTGCTACTTTTCACTTTGGTTATATTGCATATTAAGATATTACATAAACCATACCATGGGCGGGGATAGAACCCACGATCAGAGTCATAAAACTCCAGATCAGTGTGGAGTTTTATGACTCTCTGATTGCAGGTTTTATCCCCGCTCGTGATATGGCTTGTTTGCATTCGTGTCATTACAATTTCTTGTAATCTTACTGCACTATATATATCTGTCTGCTGTTAACTAGAGATATGAATAGAGAGTACTATACTAATTAAACTACATATCCAGTACACTCTACAGCCTCTCCTCATTTAGTGATGTACTCGTTTACCGACCGCTGGGACTTATGACCAGCTCTCCAACCAGAATGCAAGCCTAAATAATGTATATCTGTTTACTGCATTGTACAGTACACTACTGAATAAACATTTAAAAGTATACCAAAAAATTTTATAAATGGTGTAAAGGTGACATTAAAAAAATATCTAAAGATGGTTGACACAAACCCACTACCAGTACAGTATGCTCCTCGCTTAACGACCAGTTCACTTACCAACCTACTCTTAGGAACGGAACATCATCATTAAGTGAGGAGAAGCTGTACATATTCACACTGGTGTAAATATATCACAGAGAAGACATATGTACTAAATTTAATATTTGTGATAAAAGACAACCAATACATGAGTGTACCCAATTTAAATACTGACCTATATACACACCCAGACTTCCACCTTCTCGTTCAAAATTATATAGTATGTAGAATATTTATGGTACAGTGGCACCTCGGTATACGTCAGCTTTGGAATAAGTCCAACTTGGTATACGTCCTGTCTGGACGCGAAAATCTTTGTTTGCTATACAACCTTTGTTCAGAATATGACTCGAGTGCTAGAACTTGCATGGGTCAAAATGAGTCATGACACCGCACGCTACCCTTGTTTACCTCTCAAGACAAAGCCACGACTGCCCACTAGCGTCAGTAAACCCGTTGCTGCCATTCAGTGACCAACGCATGCTATAACAGTGAATTTTCAAGCAATTTTGTGTTTTTCGTATAAATTTTTAGTAATTCATTAACCATGAGTTCGAACAAAGTTAATGAGAAAAGCCAAGCAACGAAGAAAATGGTTAGGATCACCCTGGAGGTGAAAAAAGAGACTGTTGAAAAGTATGAAGGTGGCACACGTATCCGGGACTTGGCTGCTGCATATGCCGAGAACAACGGTATCTACGATTGTGAAAAACAAAGATGTTGTTAAATTAGCTAACATTGCGAAGGGGGGTGAAATCAATTACCAAACAAAGATCAGGGACATTGGAGCATGTTGAAAAATTGCTTTTGATCTGGATAACAGAAAAACAGTGTGCCGGCAAGAGCGTATCAGAGGCAATGATTTGGGAAAAGGCAAAACTGGTGCATGCCGATCTTTTGAAAAACAAGGCAGGAACGAGACAAGAAAGTGAAGTGTTTAAAGCCAGCCATGGCAGGTTTGATAATTTTAAGAAGAGGACTGGCATTCACAGTGTTGTGAGGCATGGAGAGGGAGCCAGTGCTGATAAATATGCTGCCAATGATTTTGTTACAGAGTTTGGGGAATTTGTGGAGGCTGAGGGTTTTGTTCCCCAACAAGATTTAATTGTGACAAAACAGGCCTGTTTTGGAGAAAGCAGAAGCAAAGTTCTTTGGACAGATTTTTAGTAAAAGTCAAACCTGGTGAGCTTCAACCAGGTCCAAATAGGAAAAAAGAGACAAAAAAGAGAAGTGGACTCTCCTTCCAAACAATAACATTTCCTCCTCTTCCCTTCTCAGAACTATGCTTGTAGGCACTCAACTCTTTTCAGCAAAGTAAAGTGAGGTTAAATTTGCATTTCTTTCATCTAATTCTTTTGTATTTATGTATTTTAGTATTAAGAAGTGTTTAAATTACATATTTTAGTATTAACCCGTTAACTGTCCAAGCATAGATCTACGTTCTTACCGCTAGCGCTCCAAAAGTAGATCTACGTTTTATTTTTCTTGCCTCCAAATTTGGCACGATTGGCCTAAGATGCCTGGTCAGCATAGAATGGGTCTTAACCCTCGGTGTGCACAGTATTAAAAAAATCTGAGACCACTTAGTACCTTGTTGGAGCACCAGTTCAATTGAGCGCCAGTTAGAGCAAACAGCACAGCAACAAGGATTCACTGATGTCATGTCGTATTAACACTTCCCTTTTAAGAGGAAAGTGTTATACGTGTACTGACAGAATGTCCTATAACCTATGCCTTAAGTAAAAAGAAACAACTCTGGAACTGTAATTTCAGCAGGCTGGCTGGTCAGCTGGCTGGCTGGCGGCTGGCTGGCCGGCGGCTGGCTGACAGGCTGTCTCTATCTCCGTCTGTCTGTCTGTATCTATCTCTGTCTATCTCTTTGTCTCTGTCTCTATTTCACAGGAACACATGCAAATACAATTATACATAGTGTAAATTACCTAGGATAACCCAAAAAATCCAGACAAGTGCTATACTGTGCTTGTAGATAGTGATCATGTGTAATACCAGTTGGTTCATGAGCAACTCTCTGAGACAAGAGACAAACAGACAGAAAGACAGACACATTGGCAGACAGATAGACACAGAGTTAGACAGAGCTAGACAGATAGAGAGCTAGAGAGAGAGACAGAGAGCTAGAGAGACAGATAGACAGAGAGCTAGACAGACAAACAGATAGAGAACTAGACAGAGAGAGCTAGACAGAGAGCTAGACAGACAGACAGACATGTTTATGTGTAACAGTGAAAACAAATAAAGCAAAGGCTCATCAAATGTCACCACTGTCATTAGTGGAGTGATAAGACAACACTCATCAAATGTCACCACTGTCATTAGTGGAGTGATAAGACAACACTCATCAAATGTCACCACTGTCATTAGTGGAGTGATAAGACAACACTCATCAAATGTCACCACTGTCAGCAGTGGAGTGATAATATAAGACGAGTGACACACTCTTACATCATGCTTCAAGGGAACTTATTATTGTTATTATTAATGTTATTATTATTATTATTATTATTATTATTATTATTATTATATACTCTCGTGTATCCAAAACATTGCTGGGACCTATAAATACTACGTATATATTTCTAGACAATAGTATGTGACTAAGGTAGGTGAAAATGTTCACCTGTCATTGTGTTTGTGACTATCTGAGCATTATTTGAGTACAGTACCTAATATTAGTATCAGAATAAAGATTGGCTATTAAATCACAAGAACTACTATAAATTATAATTATCAGAACATAAAAATTATATAAAATATAAAAACGAGAAAAAAGGTATATCGGCAACACTTCTGCAAGCGGCAGGACTCGATGTTGCCATCAGATGAGCATCAAGGCCAACTTTGCTGGCTCATATCTCGGTAAGCAGTGACCCTAAATTTTTTTTTATCCTATGACACATAGAAAAATGCGCTCTTTATTTCTATGGACAATTTTTTTTTTTTTCAAAATATTCGAAGCGCTGGGTGAGAGAACGTAGATCTACGTTTGGATAGTTAATGGGTTAAGCAGTCTTTAAATTGCTTTATACAACACCATCAATTTATAATATGCCAATAACAATGGGATTTTTTTTCATGGGAATGGATTAATCGTTTTCCCTATATTTCTTATGGGATAATTCGTTTGGAATATGTCCTGTTTGGTATAAGTCCAAGGTCTGGAATGGATTAAGGACATATACTGAGGTACCACTGTATAAGTAACTGCATAATTATGTAAATTTTGTCTTAAGATAAACTTGAAATAAGAGAAACTTACCCAAAGATGAGAAAAGCAACACATGCCACACAGGTCCAAGGGCCTCGGCGAGACTGAGATGCATAGTGAGAGACAACAAGGGCGAGGATTCCCACTCCTGTGAGACAGGCCATGTAGCCTGTACGAAGACCAAATAGGTCCCAAACAACCACACAACCACATGCAGTAGAGATCAGGTGCACAAGCCATGCAGGAGGACGTACTATGGAAGGAGAATGCCAGGAAAACTATCAATACAGTACTTGTCAAAAGTATCAGTTCAACAATGAGGGGCCAGATTTATGTGGCCCAAGACAGGCTTATCTCTTTTGTTTTTAAAGGAAACAAAAATGCTGTAGTAGTTGTGTATGTTGCTCCAATATATTAATGAATATATATTCATGATAGGGGCTTACAGACGCATCTATATTTCCCGACACTGTTTGGTTTCAAGATATCGATTATCCTGTCAAGAATATATAAAAGTAGTCTACCCAAAGTATAGAAGGCAAAATTAGACAATATTCCTAAGTTTACTACACTTAATTCATTACCACTCTTGCTGCTCCTATACACATTCCACAACACTCAATAGATGCAATAAATTAGGTTAATGTGTTGTAATTAGGCTTAATTTTATGTTTTGATTATTTTTAATCTCACCCTTTCTTTCATCAAATTATTATATTTATCAAAGGATATTTATACTATATCGTGGTTATAGTGTGAATGATAAGAAAGAGAAGACTGTGGATGTTATGACTGAGAAGAAGCTGGATGTCCTGGCTCTAAGTGAAACAAAGCTGAAGGGGGTAGGAGAGTTTCAGTGGGGGAGAAATAAATGGGATTAGGTCAGGAGTTTCTAACAGAGTTAGAGCTAACAAAGGAGTAGCAATAAGGTTGAAGGATAAGTTATTGCAGGAAAAGAAGGAATATAAATGTATTAATTCAAGGATTATGTGTAGTAAAATAAGAGCTGGATGTGAAAAGTAGGTTATAGTAAGTGTTTATGCACCTGGAGAAGAGAAAAGTGTAGAGGAGAGAGAGACATTTTGGGAAATGTTGAGTGACTGCATGGAGAGTTTTGAACCAAGTGAGAGAGTACTTGTGGTTGGGGATGTCATTGCTAGAGTGGGTAAAAATGTTGTAGAGGGAGTAGTAGGTAAATTTGAGGTACCAGGGGTAAATGAAAATGGGAAGCCTTTAACCGAACTATGTGTAGAAAGAGGGTTGGTAATAATACATATTTTATGAAAAAGAGTATAAATAAGTATACACAAGATATGATATAGCACATAATATAAGTACAGTAGTTTGTTAGATTAGGTATTGGTGGATAAAAGATTGATGGGTAGGCTTCAGGATGTACACATTTATAGAGGGGCAACTGATATATCGGATAATTATTTAGTTGTAGCTACAGTTAGAGTAAGAGGTAGATGGGGCAAAAGGAAAATGGAAACAACAAGTCAGAGAGAGATGAAAGTGTAGCAACTAAGGGAGGAGGAAGTTAGAGTGAGATATAAGCAACTATTGGCAGAAAGGGGAGCTAGTGCAAGTATGAGTAGTGGGGATATTGAAGAGGGTTGGAATATTTTTAAAAATGCAGCATTAGAATGTAGGGCAGAAGTTTGTGGCTACAGGAGGAAAAGAGGAGTGATTGGTGAAATGATGAGGTAAAGGATGTGATAATAGAGAAAAAGGTAGCTTATGAGACGTTTTTACAAAGCAGAAGTGTTATAAGAAGTGCAGAGTATATGGAGAGTAAAATAAAGGTGAAGAGAGAGGTAAGAGAGTGCAAAAGGAGAGCAGATGGTAGAGTGGGAGAGGCACTGTCAAGAAATTTTGATGAAAACAAGAAACAATTTTGGAGTGAGATGAGCAAGTTAAGAAAGCCTAGGGAAGGAATGGATTTGTCACTTAAAAACAGAGTAGGGGACTTTGTAGATGGGAAACTGGAGGTATTGAGTAGATGGCGGGAATATTTTGAGGAACTTTTAAATGTCGACGAAGAAAGGGAGGTGGTCATTTCATGCACTGGCCAGGGAGGTATAACATCTTTTAGGAGTGAAGAAGAGCAGGATGTGAGTATGGGGGAGGTACACGAGGCATTACATAAAATGAAAGGGAATAAAGAAGCAGGAACTGACGGGATCATGACAGAAATGTTAAAAGCAGGGGAGTATATAGTGTTGGAGTGGTTGGTATTTTTGTTTAATAAATATATGGAAGAAGGAAAAGTACTAAGGGATTGGCAGAGAGCATGTATAGTTCCTTTATATAAAGGGAAGGGGGACAAAAGAGGCTGTAAAAATTATAGGGGAATAAGTTTACTGAGTATACCAGGAAAAGTGTACAGTAGGGATATTACTGAAAGAATTACAGGTAAGACAGAGAGTAGGGTTGTGGATGACCAAGGAGGTTTTAGAGTGGGTAGGGGATGTGTAGATAAAGTGTTTACATTGAAGCATATATGTGAACAGCATTTAGATAAAGGTAGGGAAGTTTTCATTGCATTTATGGATTTAGAAAAGGCATATGATAGAGTAGATAGGGGAGCAATGTGGCAGATGTTGCAAGTATATGGAATAGGTAGTAAGTTGCTAAATGTTGTAAAGAGTTTTTATGAGGATAGTGAGGCTCAGGCTAGGGTGTGTAGAAGAGAGGGAGAGTACCTCCCAGTAAAAGTAGGTCTTAGACAGGGATGTGTAATGTCAGCATGGTTGTTTAATATATTTATAGATGGGGTTGTAAAAGAAGTAAATGCTAGGGTGTTGGGGAGACGGGTGGGATTAAATTATGGGGAATCAAATACAAAATGAGAGTTGACACAGTTACTTTTTGCTGATGATACAGTGCTTACGGGAGATTCTAAAGAAAAGTTGCAAAGATTAGTGGACGAGTTTGGGAGGGTGTGTAAAGGTAGAAACTTGAAAGTGAACATAGATAAGAGTAAGGTGATGAGGGTATCAAATGATTTAGTTAAAATGAAATTGGATATCACATTGGAGAGAGGGAGTATGAAAGAAGTGAATGCTTTTAGATATTTGGGAATTGACATGTCAGTGGATGGGTTTATGAAGGATGAGGTTAACCAAAGAATTTACGAAGGAAAAAAGGTGAGTGGTGCATTGAGGTATACGTGGAGTCAAAAGACATTATTTATGGAGGCAAAGAAGGGAATGTATGAAAGTGCAGTGGTACCAACACTCTTATATGGGTGTGAAGCTTGGGTTGTAAATGCTGCAGTGAGGTGGCAGTTGGAGGCAGTGGAGATGTCCTGTCTAAGGGCAATGTGTGGTGTAAATACAGTGGACCCCCGGTTAACGATATTTTTTCACTCCAGAAGTATGTTCAGGTGCCAGTATTGACCGAATTTGTTCCCATAAGGAATATTGTGAAGTAGATTAGTCCATTTCAGACCTCCAAACATGCATGTACAAACGCACTTACATAAATACTCTTACATAATTGGTCACATTCGGAGGTGCTCGTTATGCGGGGGTCCACTGTACGTATTATGCAGAAAATTCGGAGGTGTGGAGTTACTAAAAGCATTAATCAGAGGGCTGAAGAGGGGTTGTTGAGGTTTTTTGGGTCATTTAAGAATGGACCCAAAAATAAAAGACAGGGAGGCTAAAAATTTCTGTGGGGGAAAGGAAACGGGGGTAGGGGTTGTTCTCAAAAAAGGTTTGGGAGGGAGGGGTAAGGAGTTTTTGTGGGCGAGGGCGGACTTCCAGAAATGTGCGTGAGCGTGGTTAGAAAAGAGTGAATGGGACGAATGGTATTTGGGCCCTACGAGCTTTTGGGGAAGTGTGAGAAGGGTTATATTTTGAAGGGGTTCGGGAAAACTGTTATTTTTTATAGCCCGGACTTAAAGTACGGGAAAATGTAAAGTACAATCCCTGTCTTTTAGGGGGGTTTTGGGGATATTGGCAGTTTGGGGGATATGTTATATACTTTATGTAAGCTTCTAAACTGTTGTTTTGGGTGCCTCTGCAAAAACAGTGTTTATGTAGGTGAGGTGAAAGTGCTGAATGAGATTTAAGTATTTTCTTTTGGGATTGTATTCTTTTTATTTCACCCCCCGGTAGGAGACAGCCGATTTTTGAAAAAAAAAATTATATATAGGATATTTGTGTATCTTTTAGATAGCTTTAAATGTTGTGTTTGAGAACCTCTGCAAAAACGTGATTAGTGTGGTGGGGGAAAGTGTTGAATGGATAAATTTTTTTTTGGACCCCTCCCTCAGTGGATACAGGGGGTTGTTGAAAGAAAGAAAGTACAGGGGACCCCCCCTTAACGTCACCCCAAAATGCGCCCAAATTAGTAAGGATTTAGTAAGTGCGTTTGGACATTATTTTTGGGGGTCGAAATGGACAAAATTATTTCCCAATTTTCCCTTATGGGAAAAAATTGTCGTACGGGGCGGCCCCCTGAAATATATGGAATGAAAAAAGTTTTTAAACCCGGGGGTCATTAACATGTATGTATGTATGTTGTAGATGTATGTTGTATTTTTTAATATATATAAAAATAATTTTTATATTATATATAATATATTTATATTATATATTTTTTTTTTTTTTTTTAACAAGGGCCTTTCCCCCGAGGCAGGGTGCCCCAAAAAAGAAAAGAAAACCCCCAAAAAAGAAAAACTTTCATCACATAAACATTTTCACCACCTCCACATTACACTTTTTTTGCAGGGTGCTCAGAATCAACAGTCTAGAAGCATAAACATAAAAGATACCAACAATCCCCCCAAAAACCCCAATTTTCCCAAACCCTCCTTTAAAGTGCGGGCATTGTACTTCCCTTTTTCCGGGACTAAAGTCGACTATAGAAAATAACCGGTTTCCCTAAACCCCCTTTCCCTAAATATTACCCTGCTCACACTCAACAGATGTCGGGCCCCCAAGTACCATTCGCTCCATTCCCCTATCAAACACGCTCACGCCGCTTGCGGGAAGTCCAAGCCCCTTTCCCCCAAAAAACCTCCTTACCCCCTCTCCCCAACCCTTTCGAGGCGACCCTCCCCCGCCTTCCTTCCCCTATAATTTATTGCTTTCCATGTATTTACTGTGTCCTTCTCTCTAAAGACCAAACCACCTCAAAAACCCCTCTTCTGCCCTCGATTAATACTTTTATTAACTCCACACCTTCTCCTAATTTCCCACTAAAAATTTTCTGCAAAATATTTCACCACACATTGCCTTAAAC